GCCTCACAAGCAGTGACTAGCCTTTGGTGACTCCAAAGGAGAAGCCTTGGGAAGCCGCCCCTAGAGTTGGACGAGAACTTTGAAATCAGTTTGCACAGCACCTCTCTTTGCAGATAAGCATGACCCAGTTTGGTGGAGGACACTGGGGCTTAATTGCCTGTTTATTTGTGACCCTGTACCACAGCCTCGTGGTATACTCAGTGCCCTGTTCCAGGTTTGTTGTGACGAGATTAGTTGAATTGATAGTTGTAAAGTGCTTAGAAATGTGTCTGACACATCATAAACACTAGGAGCAAATCAGCTTGTTAAATCAGTAAAATAAAACTGAGACCCAGAGAAATGAGGTGACCTGCCTAAGGTCATGCGGCTTATCACACCCTTGCTGGGATAGATCCAGGCCCTTCCCAGAGACTTGATCATCCCTTTCCATCAGGTCCCTGTACCGATTGTGAATTTGCCTCAGAGGTGGTATAAAGGCCTATTAATGAGAAGTATGGTGCAGGGTGAGAAGGTAGGACCTGAAATCAACTAGGATTCGAACTTTAATGTTTACTGACTAACCACTCTGAACCTCAATTTCCTCATCTCTAGAATTACCATGATCCTGACAAACGCAAATTAGACTTGTCAGGAGGATCAAATGTGATCGTGTACTTTGAAAACCATAATCTACTATGCAAAGGTTATTTAACATTATTTTGAGCTAAAAGCCTTGGGAATGTTTCAGAGCTGCTTAGAATGTCAAGAAGTTGAGGTGGGGAAAGGTTTTTATTTTTTATTTTGAGGCAGGGTCTCACTAAATTGCCTAAGCTGGGCCCAAACTTTTGGTCCTCTGCCTCAGCTTTAACATAAAGGATTGGTATGGGATGATACTGATTTTATTACTGTCTTGGTTTTGTCTGTCTTTCTTTCTTTCTTTCTTTCTTTCTTTCTTTCTTTCTTTCTTTCTTTCTTTCTTTTCTTTCTTCCTTTCTTTCCTTTCTTTTTTCCTTTCTTTCCTTTCTTTCCTTTCTTTCCTTTCTTTCCTTTCTTTCCTTTCTTTCCTTCTTTTTTTGTTTGGTTTTTTTCCCAGTACCGGGAATCGACCTCAAGACCTCTCGCTTGCCAGGCAGGCACTGTGCCGCTGAGCTAAATCCCCAGCCCCTGGTTTTCTTTCTTAGTAGTGCTGGGGATTGAACTCACAGCCTTAGGTATACTAGGCAAACATTCTACCCCTGAGCTACACCCCTGGCCACTGGTATAAGATGATCTTAAAGGCCTTTCTGTTTTTATAGTTGTGCAGCCTTAGAACATTGCCCGGAACAGTAAATATTAACAACAGTTAATGAGCTTGAGAATCAGAGAGCGCTGATGTCTGTTCCCATATGAGCTGGGCCCAGTGACCCAGCCCTTGGCTGCGCGTGCTAAAAACCTCCCAGGGCTGCTGAGAGTCACAGATGTGAAAATGCCTAACTCAGTGCCGACACGTGGTGGGTGCAGGGCAAAAACTGCTTTCCTCCCGCCCTCCCTGCAGTTCTGCCTCCCTTCCTTCCTTGGTTCTTCCTCCCTTTGTTACTCTAGGGAGAGTCATGCTGGCTCCCTCGTGCTGCTGGTCTGAAACCTCCTCTGTAGACTTCCAGAGCAGCTGCTACCTTGTGGAGCTGCCTTGTGCCAGCTCTGCTCAGTTGCAGTTTGAGGCACAGTGACTTTGAAGGAAGCACAAGTAGCAGAGACCCCTGGCAACAAGTGATGGGTCCTTCCGGCTGGGCCCTGGGAATGGTGGTAAAGTACTGCAAGCAAGCCATCCCGTTTTCCCTGCACAGACGAGCAGCAGACGCTTCTGCTTTGTGCCTTTCAGAGACACAAAGGATCAGACTCTCATTTGCAGACCACTTTGCTTTTGCAAGGCTCTCTGTGGAAGTTCTACTATTAACAGAAAGACAACATGCAGTGCTGTAAGCCAGTTCCTGCCCCTTGACCCCCGTCGCTGAGTTGATCAGGTTTTTCAGCAGAACAAGACAAGAAGAAACCCCTTTCCTGTAGCAAATGCTGGGATGTTCCTGTTTCCTGGAGGCCAATGTCCTACACCCCCTTCCTGCAGAAATCTGCCATGGGATCCCGTGGCTTATGAAATTTGAATGTCACTTGAACCTGATGTGATACTTATTTTTTAGCTTCAAATTGCAAGGTCAAGGTCCTTTTCCAACATTGGGCAGTGTATCTATTCTTGGAGGTTTTGAGGGAGGGGTACAAAAGAGACAGACCTCAACCCCACCAGTCCTTGAAGAGGTACTATTTAGGGGCTGCTCTCTTTCCTGCAGGAAAAAACGGTAAAGTGTGCAGTGTAAATACTGTGTGAGCTCAGGTGCAGAGCCCGCGTGTGTGCCTGGCACGTATGGAAGCAGCTGTGCAGAGGCTGAGACCTGTTGGAATCGCTTTCTCGCTGTTTAGAAGTCCAGGTTCCTGCGGGCTGGCAGACACAGAGCAGCACTTAGTTGCGCGCTCCTCTCCATTCCCCGGCTTGCCCCACTCAGCACGGAGGGCCAGATGGGGAGGCTGAGGGTTTCGGGTGGCTTTGCACTGGCTTTACAGTAAGCCCTGCTAAGTGCCTGCTGTATACCAGGTGTGCTGTGGGGCACTGAGTATAACAGAGACTGACACAGTTCTTGCCTCTTGCTGATAAAAGGCTGTCGGTGGCTCATAACCAAAGGTTACTCCACACACAGCACGTTGTTTCCATATCCCAGGAAACCCATCGTCTTTCAGGTGGCGTTGTATTGTAGCCCAGGGCAAGTCTGCAGCTTCAGAGTTCCCAGGATGATACCCAGGTAGAGAAAAAGAGCAGGCACTAGCAGCAGTGACAGAGCAGCCCTCTCCATAACAGCACTCAGGAAGCTTCGGATTTAAAATTAGTCTTTGAGTCTTAAAGTGAACCTCCCTTGACTCTGGCCATCTCTGCCAAATGGATGGTTGATCACCAATAGAAACTTAATTATCCATTAATCAGTTACTATTGAGTTGCAGGTACATCCCAGCTTTCTGCTACTACTCAGAGTAATCTGTAGAAGAACAGCTTCTAATTACACAGTGAAATAGCATTCATTAATACATCAAAATAAATGTCTAGAACTAACATTTTATTAATTTATCCTAATTATTTTATTTTATTAACATTTTACTAATTACAAGAGTTGGCTTTAGTAGCTTTGAAACTCAGTTTGCTAATCTGTTGCCATTTAAATGAAGAAATAGTCATTGATATGTAGAATTAGAGCATTCTAAGTGACTTTCAATCATAAAAGTCAAGTTGTAAGAGCTTTGCTCTCCCTGTGATAGACAGTTGACCTTAAGGATAAAGGTCACTATTTAGAAGGATAAACATTGTTATTTGTAAAATTAAAAAGTAACTTGGTTTGATGCCTACTGTGAAAATCTTCTGGATATTATGGTATAGTAGGAAAATGATAGAGAACTGCTAACTTGCTGGTCTGTCCTGGACCTGTAGCTACAGAAATGTGTAAAAATGAACTTTTGCTCTCCGTTTCTTCCAAGATAGATTTGATCCTCCTTTGTACATCCTCCTTCCCCATTGTCTGCCCCGGCTTACCGCGTCCCAGTTTCCCACTGGGACAGTCAGAAGCTAAACATTTTATTTGTTCGCCATAAATGCTTTGCCCACTCCTGACCCCCAAAGTAAGTTAAATAATTTTGGTTCTGATGTGTTATCTACCTATCATTGGTTCACTTAGTTACTCATTTATTGGTTATTTTCTATGTCTGATGTTTAGTTTACTGTTAGCATTACAGTGATGAAAGAGTGGTTCCCTGACTGCCCAGATCCACGCAGGAGAAGGCACATACTCGTACAATTGATGAGCAGATGCGAAGTTGCCATTATGAGTGTGTTATATCCATTCTATGTTGTCTATGATGCGCAGGTAAAAGATACCATGAAAACACTCGAAGTGTTTGCCCTTGACATTGGCATCAGGGCAGCCTCCTGAGGAAATGGTGGTGAGCTAAGGTCTGAAAGAGGTGTAGGCATGAACAACATGAATAGAAATGGAAGGAGCGCTCCAGACAGAGGAAGCAGCATGTGCCCCCCGCTCTTAATGAGGGGCACCTGGCATAACGGAGCGCTGAAAGAAGTTCTGCTCTGCTCACTGGTGGACAGACTCGGAGAAGTTGGGTAGAGGCAGGGTGATGTGAAGTCCAACAGGCCAGGTTAAAAATGGTTCACTTAACCTAGTTCATTTAATCTTTGCAATAATTCTGTCAGATAGGTACTGTTTTTATATACTCTTTTATAGAGGAGGGGCATGAGACACAGAATTTGCAAATTTCTGAACACAGAAAGATGGTACGATTTACAGAAAGCCAGTAAGCGTTGGAAACCAGGTTGGTTGGTTGGTTGTTCTTTCCGGTACCAGGGATCGAACTCACGATCTTGCTCTTGCCGAGGAGGCGCTGTGCCGCTGAGCTAAACACCCAGTCCCTTGGAAACCAGGTTTTGATGGAGGCACTTGCACCTCTTCTCCGCTGCTCCCCGTGATCTATCTGATTGTCTAAGCACCACTGCCTACCACTCTGTGCACGGAAACGCACAAGGGCACGCATTTTAAAGTGTGACTCCAGCATTTGTTTTTCCAGCTGAAACTCATCTCATAGCCTTGACTGCTAAAAGCATTACTTTTCTGTGAAGGGCTGAGATATTTAAGGCTTTGTTTTTCTTTTAATATCACCTGCTAAGTTCCATCTTTTTATGTACACACATATGGAACAGCAGGGTGAATTGTGATAGTAATGTTTGCCTCCAGTTTTTGGATCTGTGCATATACAACAGTGCCTAGAAAGTGTAGGTCATTTGTGTCTCTAGAACTGTTCATTCCTGTCTGGGGCTAGCTTACTGCACAGTTGTTCTAGCCATTCCCCGCCAAGCTCTGAAAAGATACACTGAGAAGTTTCTTACCAGCCTGCTCACATCTGAACTCACATTAACTCTGTGTCACATTTTATTCCAGACACTTGTGAGAAATTCATCAGGCTGTGAAGTACGCAGTGATGAGTATCGAACAGAGTTTACCACAGCTTTGCAGCGTGTTGACTTATTCTCGGGCCAGTTCAAACAGGTGCTACTGACATCTATATCTACCTTCGTTCAAGGAGACCTCACCGTTGCTAATCTTGGGACATCAGAGGGTCGTTTCATGCAGGTAACTGCCTTCTACCTGGTATTGTGCAACTAGTTTGGTTTTGTTTTTGCAGGAGAATATTTGCTACCAAACTGTAATGTATAAGTGACAGTAGAAGCTGCAGACAGAGTAAAAACCTGGAGACAGAGTAAAAACCAAACAGGGAAGGCTGTCCCACTTTTTATGAAGTGTATGGCCTATTTTTGTTAAGTTTTTGAAGTGGTTGCTTTAATTTTCTTTTTTGGAATGGTTTGGGCTTTTTTTCCATTCATAACTTTTATCACATGATTGGAAAGTAAAAATGAAACAATTAAAGCACTTCCAGGCGGTGTTTTCCTATTCCAAGGGAAACTGCGGATCAAAGGAAAGCTATTGTGTGAACCATGTGTCTCCATGAGAAGAAACATTCACATCATTGAGAAGTATTGGCAGGAGTTAGGAAGGGATGTTACGGTCAGAATCCCATTGTAACTCAGGCTCTTCCGCAAAATAGTGGGGTTAGACACAAAGAAGTTGAAATACTTAAGGAGGGAGAGGGGTATTAAGAAGTGCTTTAATGGCTAGCAACAGTATTTCCATAAGGTAAATGTTCATACTGTAAACTTCACTGAAGTTACCATGCTTCCTAGCTACAGGAATCGTAGCACTTTGCAGAAATTAACATGCTCTAGTATTGGATTTATTTTATTGCTTTAATATTTATTAACGCTTTCAATATGATTCACCAGTAGATTCTTGATCATTGCAGAATGACAGTGACCTTCACGGAAATGTTACATTTCTGTGAACGCTAGAAATTTCTTGTAGAAGATGTTTATTTTGTCATTACCTGATACAATTAGCATCCTGATCGGACAACAATTTCTAGTGAGCCAGTTGAGGGGGGTGATATTTCCCAACGATGTACTGTATCTGTCTTCCTTTATGAAATATATTTTAGTCCTTGTCATATTTTAAGAACCGTAAATCATGTTTGTCTTGTCCTAGTGGGCATGATGGAATTTCTCAAAGTGGTAAAATCTTCCTAGCTGAGAACTAACGATACAGGTCCTGTGGTCTAAATGTTCTGTACTAGTACCCCCTGCTTCTGCTCCCTCGCAGCTGTGTCTCCCCACTTTCTCTCTCCAGTCCGTTGTGTTTACTTACCCACCTCACCCAGCCTAAATACCTTTAACTCCTCAGAATCTGAAGAGTGGCCCAGTTTCCCCACAGACATGCTCTCCAGTGTATTTGAGTATGATTGCCTGTTTTCCTTGTAATACTAATTTGTGTTTATGTTTTTAATGTACGTTGATGGTATTCTGTAAATTTCCAAAAGAGCATGAGAGAGGCTTGCATGTATTGAATTCCTAATGCGTTCGTGATACTGGCTTGCCTCTCTTTATCTTCATTTCTGCTTTCCTTTTTTTTTTTTTTTCTAAATTGTCCATTATCTTGCCAATTCAGGTTCACATTAGTAAGCTGTGATGGCCATTTTAGGTCTGACAGGTTTTTTTTTAACATCAAAGATTTCCTGGTCTAGTTCCAGATGTTAAAGTTCTAATAAAATGCCATTTTTAATAGGTTGCTTTAGTAACAAAGAGTCCTAACAAAGAGTCCTCGCTATCCAAGGCATTTAGAATGTGTCAGTCTCATGATAATAGAAACGCTATAGCCAATAGTTTATTCTTGTCCCCTAGCATGTGTAGAAAAGATGCAATCTTATACCATTAACTGTGCATCCAAAACAAAGTACATACTTGTTTCGTGACGGTACCATCGGTGTTTCTGCATTTTTAAAACAAGGACATCAAATGTGTATTAAGAACCTACTAAATTTGCTTTATCCAACAAGTGAATGACACAGAGGAAACAGTGACACAGAACTTGCCTTGAAGGACCTATAATTTTAGTAGAGGAGGGAAAAAAAGACATGTAACAATAGCACATACAGAGGGCTCTAGGGACCCACAGATTCATTTCTCTGACACTTGCCTGAGGAATTCCATTAAATTCATGTAGACAAACCGACAGCATTTGAAGACTCAGATAATCCACATCACTGAAATCCAGTTTGTTTACAGCAAATAATGCTTGGTGGAGGGGGTGGACGTGGGGCAAAGATCAGAGACGTCCAACCAGATCTGTCCCAGCAGTGACTGCCTACCAAGTTCTGTAAATGTTTTGACAGGGCTAAGATGCTAACTCTGTAGCCAGCCTGTTTCTACAATTCACGTTTTAATAAATACTATGGAGTTTCTGTTACAAGATAGAACGGACATATTTCCTTCTCCAAAGACAGCTGCCACACATGAAAAGGAACAGAAAAACGGTTTTACTTCCTTCCTACCCAGAAGCCTGATGGCAGAGTTACTCTGCACATTTTTTCTAGCAAGAGTTTGCAGCTGTTGCTGCCCTTCCTGTTGTGCCTGTGTTGGGCTCTGGCTGGGAACACCAGCCACATCCCCAGCTGTTGGGCGCAAAGTGAATCAGGTATTTCACAGTGGTTATTTGATGAGAAAGAGTTATATTGTTGGTTAACAATGGTATGTGTACGGCAGTGAGGTTTTTACATGTCTCTAACATTTAAACGTGTAAGTTATACAGGTGCAGCTATGTCTAAACACATTGATGTGCACAAGTAGTTGAGTATCTGTAGAGCTGTGCTAATACAAATTTCAGAAACAGTTTTTATGTGTATGGTCACTCTCTTGGGTTGCTTTGAAATAAAATAATATGCTAAACGAAATGCTGTTTGAAGTAGTGTGCGTAAAAAGTGGGAATGTGCCTCCTTACAAACTAGGGGGAGAAAGTGGAGAGAAGAAGACAGCAGCCTTAGTACAGTACTCATAGCTACGTGGGAGAGGGAAGAAGGACTCTCATGAAGATCACAGGACTAATCACAGGGATTGCCCGCGTCTCCCCTTCTGAGCCCCTCGTCTAATCTATATCCAAAACAATGCTTGCTTGATTTTTTTTTTTTACAGCGCTTGTATAAGGCCTTTAATCTTCAAATGCAGAGCATTGCTATTAAAATATTTGTGCGTGACTGTCAGGCCAGGCAGAGTGCGTGAGTCAAGGCTGGTTGGGGTGGAGAGGCCCTTTCAAGACTTTCCTCGAGTTCAGCTCCAGAAACATTCAGTAGGCACTCTGCACCATGCCTGCTAGCAGTGACCCTCGCCTAGGTTCTGCCGCCACTGCCCTCAGGCTCTTCGGTACCTCCTGGCCCTTCCTCCACCGCCCCCTGCCTTTTCACTTTTCCCCAGTTTTGTTACCCCTGTTGTTGTTAGCACTCACTCACCCTTTTTCTCCCTGGTCGTAACTGGACCGATTTTGTCTTAAATAAGAAGTTTAAAGAAGCAAGGATCACCTCAACAGACATCCTTTGCTCAAACTCATAATTTATGACCATGGCTTCAAGGATTATGCCAGTAACTGGCGAATTTGAGAATGATTACTCACATCCAGTGAGAAGAATCAATTTATCTGTTGACCCGACTTCACATTCTTTCAGTTCCTGTAGCACCATCATGCGATGTCAGTGATTTCAGTAGGAGCCAGTGGAGTAGATCACATTTGCAATTGTTGCTTTAGAATATGGAGACACAGATCATCAAGCCAGCAGTGCTGTGAGCATGGTGCAGTGACAGAACGAAATCAAACTTAAATGCAAATGCTATTTGTTCTTTAGGGATTATTAATTTACCCACCTTTTTTGTAAAATGCTCAGATAAAAAGATCTTCTGCCTTTCAAAAAATATTGTTCACCTTAGGTGACTTAGTTATTTCCCTAAACAATATTAGCGTTAGTCGATTTCTTTAGAGGAAAATATGCTCATAAAATTTCCTTCTAAGAAATAACTTGCTAACTAGATGTGGTGGCTCATGTCTGAGATCCCAGCACCCTGGAAGGCTACAGTAGGAAGATTGAAAGTTTGAGCCCAAGGGCTGGGGATTTAGCTCAGCGGCAAAAGCGCCTGCCTGGCAAGCGCAAGGTCGTGAGTTCAGTTCCCGGTACAGGAGAAAAACCAAAAAAAAAAAAAAAAGAAAGTTTGAGCCCAGCCTGGGCAACTTAGCAATTTAGCAAGACCCTACTGCAATATTTAAAAATTTTTAAAAGTATGAATGCCTTAGCTTCTGTACTACAAAATAGAAAAAAACTATTACATAAGTAATAATTTTAGGGTTATGCCCATAACTAAAAATTAAGCTGTTACTTAGTCTCCTAAAATGAATTAATGCATGCTCCAAGGACATTTATTTTATATACGCTTATACACATAGAAATTTGAGACATCATAAATATTTGAAGCCATGGGAAAATGCAGAGCTTTTGTTTGTTTTGGTTTGGGGTAGCAGGGAGTAACTGGAATTTCTTGCATGGATGCTTTTTGGAAAGAACAGAGAAACACTGTGAGACCTGAGATATGTATACCCGTAGTTTTGGAACTTTCACCACTTTTAAATTTCAGAAACCTTTATTCTATGTGTAAAGAAGTTAATCCTCCAAACAGAATACTGATTTGAAAGTACTGGTTATTTTAACATTTTTACACATTTCCTAGCTTGTTTAGTTTTTAGATGTTTGAATTTTTTTATGCGGTCATAATCTCATATTAATTTGTTTTGACTCACTTTTGACTCGTTTCAAAAACTGGAACATACACACATCGGTTTGTAATAGAGGACAATCACTTTGCTTTCCAGTTATATCCGGGCTTCACCGTAGCAGTCTGGTGTGGAAGGGTTTAGTCCCAAAAAGAGTGAAGGAAAGAACAGAGCAAAGCTTCATTTAATCAGCTTTCGCCACCCAGCAATTTATCTTATGACTTGTTAGTTCTCAGCTAACGATGCGAGTCATGAAACTAAATGCTTACCTTGATTGAAACAAGTTACTCTTCTTATTCTGATTTTTTCTAAGTACACACCAATTTCTGTCACAGACTGAGGGAAGGCCTCACTCAGGCAGGCCAGACAGTGAGATGCGGGAAGGCTCACCCTGAAAATGCACATTGAACTCTTGAAGGCCCTCTGAATGCTGA